TGACAGAGCATGCGCTTTTACGCAAAAACCGCGATAGAGCGAAGCCGCGGAAGTCGGCTTTCTGTTGGAAAGAAATCATAAAAGCAAGCCTGAGAACCTCGTGGGACCCATACTTCACCGCTGTTCCTCCTGTCACCGTCTCAGCCCCCATGGCTGCTGGGGGACCCCGGGACAGTGCCCAAGGGCAGGCCTAGTGGTCTTTCCAGCTGCTTCCGCGCGTCGGACTCCCTGTTTCCTCCAGGAGAAAAGCAGATCAGGAGCCCAGCTACCTGAAGGGCACGTGACTTGATTGTCTAGGTCACCAAAGCCAACGGGTCAGAGCGGATGGGTCAGAAGGGCACTTCTTCCTAGAAAACATGAGCAGAAGGTTAGTCTCCAGGGCCACACAGACCTCCAGGTCACACCCTCAAAGCCAGTGAGTGTGCCCCTCCCAGAACATGCCCATTCTCCCCATCTCAGACAGTTCACCCTTGATGTCTCTCTTCATTGGACCCTCCCGACCCCAGCAACGGGGCCAGTTTCACTTCCTATGCTACTGAGACCTAAGTCTAAGGCTCTCAAGAACAGGCATTTACTGTCTCACAGTTCTAGAGGCTGGCAATCCAAGTCAGGGTTCTTGGGGGCCCTGGGCATTCCCTGGTGCCCCTCTCATGACCTTGGTCTCCCCCTTTGTGTCTGCTTGCATCTGTGTCTGTGCTGCTCTTGGTAGAACTCAGAAGTGATTAGGTTTAGGACCCACCTTGCGCTGGCCTCCTCACAACTGACGGATTTCATTATAGTAGGTTATAGATGATGATTACATGAGCTTGTATTATATGATAGCCAATGTTATAGGGGTTAAATCCCAACATATATTTGGGGGGGCACTGTGTTAGTCTGGGTAAACTAGGGAAACCAATCCACAGAAACTCATATGTATAAGACAGAGTTTTATCTAAGGGGGTAAGTGTACTTTAAGAAAGCATCCCAACCCAGTGCTGCCCAAGGCCATAAGTCCAACGTTAGCCCATATGTCCGACACTGTTCTACAAAGTCCTCCTCAATCTCACAAAACGCACGAAATGATGTGGACTGCAGGAGGAAAGCCGAATCAGTGAGCGTGTAAGCCCTGGCAGGGGTCTCCACAAGGGTGCTCCAGCACCCAGGGCTGCATCAGGGTAGGTCCATGTGGCTTCTCCTCAGGGATGTCTTGCAGGAAGTGAGCCTTGCCAGATGAAGCAGGGAACTGGCTAAGGCAGCTGTACCCTGGTCTGACTATCAGAAAGCAAGAGACCTGAGAACTAGAAAGGCGAGGCTCGCTGAGCCATTTATCCTTCCGCCCTTCAATTAACCCCACATGTGTTTATTGACCAGGTTGGTACCATAAACCATAACTACCTCAGGCACAATTCTATCCATCACACTTTCCATGCTCTCTCCACCAGGCAGCACTTGACTGTGTGTTGGGCATCGGGCCATGGGGACACCTTTGCTCTCTGACTTTGAGCAACACCCCAGTGTGCAGATCTGAATCTTCTTGCAGAGGCCCCCTTGTTCTGGCATCTTCCATCAGCAGCTGTGCCAGGAATATTGGGACAGACAAGGTTAGAAAGGTTGTTACTGGCGGTCTCTAAGCCCTTCTCTGCAGCACAGCTGCGGAGGCTCTGATAAACCCGGTGCCCATCCAGGGCCACTGAACAGGCTGGAATGTATCAAGTAGGGGCAGCAATGGGGTGGCAGGGAAAGGTTCATTTGTCAATCGTGCCCGTGTGTGGTGTGTGTGTGTGTGTGTGTGTATCACCATCTGTCAGTCTGTCGTGCTGCTGTGGTGATGGAAGCTGTGCCGCTGGCATTTCAAATGGCAGCAGTCGCCCATGGTGAACAGGTTTCAGAGGAGCGTCCAGACTGAGAGGCTGGGAAGAAGGAACGTCTGAAATCTTTGCTGCTGAGAATGTGATGCGCAGCAGCTGCACGATGTCTTGATAAGAGTGCTGGGAGATCAGCCCTCCGCTGGGAAGGCATTCTGAGTACACATGGGGAAGAGCTGCTTCTTCAAGGTATACTTGACCTTCATGACAACGGCAGAGCAAACCTTTGGAGACTTTGCCAAGAGGCGGTGGTTTGGACCGAATAGGGGATCCTCTGTGGTTTAACATGAGCAAAAGTGTGCATCAGGGCTGTATCCTCTCACCGTAGTGAATCAATCTGCATGTATGATTGCTGAGTAAATCATGCAAGAAGCTAGACAATACGAAGAATGCTGCAGGATTGGAAGAAGATCGAGAACACAATCTTACTTGCTAAAAGCAAAGAGGACTTAGAGCATTTACTGTTGAAGATCAAAGACTACAGCCTTCGGTATAACTTATACCTCAAGGTACAGAAAACAAAAATCCTCACAACTGGACCAGTAAACAACATCACACCCGTGTTAGTCTGGGTAGACTAGAGAAACAAATCCATAGACACTCATATGTGTATAAGAAAGAGCTTCATCTACAAGAGCAATTGAACACTAAGACAACATCCCAGTCCAGATCAAGTCCATAAGTCTGATAGTAGCCCATATGCCTGATGCCTAGCTATAAAGCCCTCTTCAGACTCACGAAACACATGCAATGACGCCAAATGCAGGAAGATCACAGGCCAGTGGGTGGGAAGTCTTGCGGGTCCAGTGGTGTGGTAAGCATCTCAGCGCTGGCAGGGGTCTCCACTTGCCTTCTCCAGTTCCCAGGGCACGGGGTCTAGCAGCGCAGTGCCATGTGTCTTGTCAGTAGAGAGTGTCTCCTGCCTCCAAGGCGGAAATCCAGGAATTCTCAGGAGAAGGCCATGCCCACACAGCGGCCTCATTGGCTATGGTCTGATTGACAGACTAGACTCCACCCCTTCACTCTTAATCCTTCAAGTCCCAAATTGACACCAGATGATGCCACTACCAAACAACAAAGAAAAGATGGAAGCTGTCCAGGATTTCATTTTACCTGAATCCACAGTCAACATCCAGAGAAGAAATAGTCAAGAAATCAACTGATGGATTGCCTGGGGGAAATCTATTGTGCAAAGCTATCATTTGGGGAACTAAGGTGCACCTCACTAAAAGCCACGGTCTATTGGATCGCCTCATCTGTGTTGCAAGTACAGTTGCCGTACAGTGAATGGAAGACCGGAGAACATGGATGCATTTGAGTTGTGGTGTCAAAGGAGAATTGTGAATATCCTTTGGACAAACAAGTCTGTCTCGATAAGTACAACCAGAATGCTCCTTAGAAATGATGATGGTGAGACTTCATCTCGTACAGTTTGAACCTCTTCGCAGGAGGGACCAGTCCCTGGGAAAAGACACCCTGCTTGGTGAAGGAGAAGGTCAGTGTAAAAGAACAAGACCCTTCCGGAGACGGTGGCTGTGACAATGACCCAACAGTGGCATGGCTGCAAGAGTGGGCTCACACCGAACAACAATTGTGTGGCTGTTTCAGGACCAACCAGCATTTTGCCCTGTTGTACAAAGGGTTGCTAAGTGTTGGAACCAACCGAATCGTACCTCACAAGAACCATGTTCCCGGATGGAGCCCATTTTTGCAGCCACGGGATCAGTCCATCTCCCTGAGGGCCTTCCTCTTGAGCCGCCCCTCTGCCGTAACACACGTGATAACACAAACAATCCATGTGGGAAATCTCAAATTGTAGAGGGCTGCTAAGGAACTCGTCTTTTAGAATAGTCACCTTTCGAAAGATGGTCCAGGTTTTGTATCCGATGGTCCCTGGTTGAACTGCGACAAGGCAAGCGCAAGCTTGAAATCATTTCTCAAATCCTGATGTGGAAGGGCCAAGGAGATAGTAACTCTCCTCCCACTGGCCCCTCGTCCCCTCCTCTCTTGAACAATGAGGAGCCAGGAGGGGGTGTAAGTTGGACGCAGGAGCCTCAGCCAGACAAGACTGCCTGCAGTACATATCTTAGCTGTGACCTCATGGGGACTATCAGGAGAGTGATCCTGTCCTCCTGATGCTACTGGGGGAGTAGAGTCAAGGATGTGGTACTGGATCTGCCTGACACAGCCACCTTCACCAGGGTGGGACATGGGAACTTGCATCCCCAATCCCAATCTTTACTTTCCTTCTCACTCAGATACTAGTGCCTTCAGGAGCCGTGACGGTGTGGAGAGGGTGCTCACAGAGAAGGAGCATTCCCAAAGCCAAGGGAAGCCCTGTGAAGGAGAAATGAAGCCCGAGAGCCTATTGTCAAGGGGCAGCTAGGGATGAGCCCACCACAGAGACTGCGGTCCAGCCAGGATCCAGGGAGGACCTACCTAACACTGCCTGTGCTGCCCTCGGGTCCCCTCTCTGCTCCCTGCTTCAGACTCTGCCTCCACTGTGTCCTGCCTCCTTCTCTGTGATGGTTCAGGCTTTGGGTCAACTTGGCTTGACCAGGATTCTCAATGATTTGGCAATTAAGACTACATCATTCCCTATGATGGTAATCTAATGCAGTGTAATCACTTTCATAATGGTATCTACTATGAGCGGCCAATCGATTTTAAGATTAGAGTGGGATACAGCATCTTTGCTCAGACCACAACCCTGATGCAACTCATTGAAAGGAAGATTCCTCTGGCCGGTGGCCTGCTTCCAATATAAGTGAACACTGTGGGAAAGCTTACTTGCTCTTTGCTGGTTTATCCTACATCCGGCTCATCAGCCACTAGTTGCTTGCACTGGAGCCAGCGGCCACTCATCTAGCCTATTATTCCTGGGAGTCACTTGCATCCTGCCATCTGGCCTGCCAACCTTGGATTCTTTCACCTCTACAGCCACAAGTCTGCCATTGTCCTGCCGATCTTAGCACCATTCGCCCCAACAGTTTCTGGACACAGGAGAAGCCTACAGCCTAACATCGGACTTGGACTTGCCCACTTCTACAACTGTGTGAAACGTTTCCTTGAAGAAAATGTTCTACACACACACAAGAAAAATCGACGTTGATAACCTTCACTGACCTCACTGCTCTAGAAAACCCAACATAAGATCCCCTCCCTGCAGCCTACCCTTCACTTCTCTTCCTCTTTTGGCTTCTTCTCAAATCTGTCGTGTCCCCCCCGCCCGCTTCCTCAGATCTTTCCTCTCTGTGCCACCGGCCATGTCCCATGGTGCGGCCATCAGGTCCTCTGAAAACTCTGTTGACACCCATGTGCACCACGTTTAGAGAGAAAGGCAGTTGAAACAATTGTTGGAGTCCGATGCATGCGCAGTTGACAAAGAATTCTCTAATTTCTGCTGCATAGAAGGAAAATCCCTGTCTGAGGCCAGAAGAGAGTTTCCGAGGAAGACACTATCCAGGGGGGACACAAGCTCAATTGGCTTGTGCCGATATTGAGGGCTAGATAGCATCCATGGAGCCACCAACAAGTCCCACAGAAGAAAACACTGGGTGATCTTATGCCATCACCACGGTCACTGCCATGTTTGAGCCCGTCACTGCCGCTACTGCACCAAGCTGCCTCCCTGAGGGCTCCCTCGCCCTCCCCTTCACCAAACACAAGAGCCTCCCGCAACCGAGCCCTGTTCACCCGGCAGCCAGACAACGTTCGGGTGTGAGGTAGATCATCAGGCCTTCTTTCCAGACTGTCAGTCTGGAAGTTGCCATGAAGCCTGTCCACAATGGGGCACGCTGCTGGTATTTGAAATGCCAGGAGCCTAGCTCCCACCCTCACAACACCCCCCAAGCCGGCACAGTACAACAAGCCGACAGATGGGTGGCATGCTGATCCATTCGGAAAGTATGAGTGACAAGGGAAACTGTATTATGGTCGCCTGGAGTGCCGCGAAGGAGGGGCTTTTCAGGGCAAGGGGTTTCCTGCAGTTGTTCTAAGTGAGTGTTTCCGTCTTATTCCTCACCCTGGGGGAAGCCAGTGGTCTTAATGAGGACTGGACCCTCTGAGAAGGGCCATCAGTCCAAGGCCACCATCCCGGGAAGGCACTTGCCAGCGCTGATCATTCCCATCCACCAGAAGCTTGGCTAAGTAGCGTCCTGGGTATCAGAAGGGCAGGGAGGGTAGGTAGCACAGCAGATGTTGGATAGGGTTTCTCGTGGTGGAACTGGTGGTGTTTCAACGTGCCACTAGAAAGAGGCTGGTGACATTTCTGGACCTGCCGGCATGCAGTATGGACACTCACTGCAGCCAAGGTAAGAGATGGGATACAAGGTAGGAGAACTCACCCTCTCCCTGATGCCCTTACCAGGACCTTGATCCTGCCGCCCACCCCGGTCCTCCTGGCCAAGGAAGAGAGAAAGCAGACACCCTCCCTTCTCCCTCCAGGGGTGCAGGGGGACCTGAAGGACAGGAGCCTGCAGGGGACCCAGAGGATGGTCTCTGCAGCTTTGATTTTCCCTTTCTGGCCGCACAGAAATGCAATGGATCGGCTGACAAGCGAGACATTCCCCTTACAGTTCAACAACATGCACCGGCTCAAAAAGCCCTACTACTCCAGGGACGCCTACTTATGCTACCGGCTGGATGGCCCTCAAAGCGCCCAACGCTGCTTTTGGTACAAGGTGCCAGGGAGGTTCTTGGGGCACAGGGCAGGTGGGGGGAGGGGGGGCTGACTTAGTGGATCTGCAGGGGCTTACACACACAGCTCTTCAATTGCCTGGGCCACTTCCTCTGGGTGTTCTTCGTCCCGTGCGGCCTCGGCCTCCGTGGGGCTCCCCACATTTAAAAAAAAATCATTTTATTGGGGGCTCTTACAGCTCCTATCACAATCCATACATACCTCCATTGTGTCAAGCACATTTGTACATATGTTGCCATCATCTTTTTCAAAACATTTTCTACTTGAGCCCTTGGTATCAGCTCATTTTCCAGCTCAAGTTGTATTGCTCTCCTGCACCCTGACTGGCTCATCTCCCCGTGACCCTTCTGTAAGGGGATGTCCAATTGCCTACAGATGGCCTTTGGGTCTCCACTCTGCACTCCCCTCATTCACATCAATATGATTTTTTGGGGGGGCGGGGGGCGGTCTTTGATGCCTAATACCTGATTCTCATCAACACATGATCACACAGGCTGGTGTGGTTCTTCCATGTGGGCTTTGTTGCTTCTCAGCTAGATGGCTGCTTGCTTATCTTCAAGCCCCCCCCCCCAACATTCTATCCCACTCACTCCACCCCGTTTCCCAGCTTGTGCCGATGCTGTTCACTCCAGGAGAATGCTCTTCCTGGGCCTCTGAGTCCTCCCCCTTCGCTCCCAGCTCAGCCATAACTTCAAGGAAGGCCCCAGCTCCCACCCCCGGTTCTGGCAGCGCCTGTCACAAAGCTGCCCTCATGAGGGAGCCCCTTTGATGAGTGTCTGCCTCCTCTGTTGCCTCTCTTGGGCCCCCCCCCACCTCTCCCACCCCATGCTAAGTGGGTGAACGTGCTAAGTGGATGAACGAGCCAATGGATGATTGGCTCCAAGGTGGCCCCATGACTTCTGGGTGTCCTAACACTTGAATTACTAGGGAAACCACCTGGGACACCCACCCAAGCCTGGCCGGGTGGGAGTGGGGGAGGGGGAGGCACCGACTCTACAGAGACTCTGAGGAGGCTTCTGCCCTTCCCTGCGTGCCTGGTCACTTGTCTACCCCTTTTCTCTTAAAACAGATGAAAGAAGAAAAAGAAGGAAATCCAAACTTGCCCACGGAGACCCTGGTGGGTCACGCGACTTCATGGTCCATCCCTTACACGTCACCCACCGCCCTCCCCGCACACCTGGCTCACCTGCCCTCGCGATGGTTCTGTCATGTCCACGAGGGACTGCTTGTGCCAAGAACCTGGGATGACCCATCTGTGGGCTACCCGGAGAGAAGTCTGGGGGCTGTAGAGTGGGGGCAGCCGCTCTCCAGCTGCTCATGGTCCAGTTGGAGTGTGTCAGCTGGGTGGCATGATGAGCACCCAGAGTGCAGGGGCTCAGAGGCCGGCCCCCAGGGTGCAGTGGGGGGCGGGGGGAGGGCAGGGGCGGGTCTGGGACATGCTGTAGAGGAGGGAAGACTTCCCAGCAGAGGGCGTGGTGGAGGTGGGTCTGAAAGTAAGAACTGGCCGAGGCTCATGGACGATAGAGGGCATGTAGGTATGGGTAGGTGGGTGCGTTGGGGGGGTTCTTGTGAGAACCTCCAATGGTCTCCTTCTGTGGTGTGTGAAGTGTGAAGAAGCCGAGATAGGAGACACAGCAAGGGGGAGGCGGTCAGGGGCCAGGAGTGCCAGGAACCAAGAAGGAGGGTTCAGATGGGCCCTGTCCCTCCTGTGGGCAGCCCAGGGAGGATGGATCTGCCCTAGGGGGGGTGGTCCCACATGTGGTCTCAGGGGGCAGAGCCTGGCTTTGGTTGTGGGTCTGGTGGGCCGGCGCCTGCCTCTGTGCTCTGTTGCATTAGCTTTGGCCACTCTGATCTTGCCCGGAGCTCCCACCACACCCCGTTCTCTCTGCAGCCCATTCCTGCTGGCCGCCTGGCCTGAGCAGGACGGTCATGATGGGCTGTACATCCTCTGGTTGCAAAACTGCACCCGTCCCTGGTCGCCGTTACTTTGGGGGCATAATGCTTCCCCCCTCTGCCTGACCCAGAGTTCCTGCTCAGTGAAGGCACTCCCTTAGCCTCCAGACTCACAGCTCCCATCGCTAGCCCTGGTGGCACGAGTTCCAGCAATGGGGCAACCTGCCAGGAGCCACAGCCCAGTCAAGACAGATGGGTGGTGGGTACGACTCTTAAACCAAGCGCAACCCCGCTGCCCTCGGATCTGTTGTGACGCCGGGCGACCCCTGCTTCAGAGTGCAACAGCACCACGGAGCAGCGGTTCTCAGCCTATGGGTCGCGACCCCTCGGAGGGGGTGGGGGTGTCGAACGACCCTTTCACAGAGGTCGTCCTATTCGTCACAATACCAAAACGACAAGGATGAAGTAGCAACGAAATTAATGTTCTGGTTGGGGGGGTCACTACCACATGAGGAACTGTATGAAAGGGTCGGGGCACTAGGAAGGTGGAGAACCCCTGCATGGGGGGTTCTGGACCGGAGCCTTCCAAAAGCAGAGCCAGGGCCTTCTTCCAGGGACACTGGGTGGCATCAGACTGCCAACCAAGCAGTTGGCAGCTGAGCACTGAACCGGTGCCACAGGCAGGGCCAGGGCCGCCCTTAGCACA